CATAATAAAATTAATTATAAACTAGACTCTAGAATAACAATTAGAATTCTCTGTGCAAGCAGTTTTCAATAGTGATTTAAAAAGCTTTAGCGGAATAAGAGTCCGTAATTGCAGGGAGTTTTGAATATTGTGCCACGACCATGGTGCTGCATAGAAAAATGATGTTTTGCCAAGATCTGTGTTGATCCTGGGAATAGTGAAAAGAACACGACTAATGTTACGAGTAATAATCAAAGCATTTTTTTTTATGAATATTTTGTCTCTGTTGCGTATTTACCTTGATTTCACATGTCAGCTATTGGTTTGAATCTATAAGTAAAATCCAACTCAATAGGCATCATGTTATCTCATTTAAAGCCTTCCACAGGCAGCTTTTCCCTCCACACCCTCAATGTACCTGAACTTGTTTATTCCTCTTAGAGTTACATTGTCAAAAAAAAAAAATTTGCTGCAAGAATCCCGGCCAAAGAAATTTGCGTTACAATACCTAGCCTGTGTGCACCTCTTTTGTAATTACACCCATGGCTGATTTCTTTTATCCCCTTTTAGATTAATTTCCAATGACCTTTATGTCACTAAATTGCACCAAGTTGAAAGACGTTTCCAGCGGTGTTAATTGTTTTAGGCATTGATGTGCGGAGAACTCCGATTTTTATGTGAATAGAGTTAATTGCAATTCATTTGCTTTCTTGTTTCTCCCTCTCTTGGAGAATTTTTTTGGCTTTCTCTGTCTGTTTTTCTGATAACACATGCTACATATCTCTTAATGCAGAATAGATTAAGCACAATAAATACGGAAAAAACTAATAGGAAGACAGGGCTTTGTTAAACGATGATCTAACTCACTCTTTGTGGAGGCCATGTCTGCCTGTATCTCTATGAAAATGTTTCCTTTATTTCCCTTGCCCGGTGATAATGACTGGGTGTTATCCCACTGCACTGTTAATTAATTAAGGACTTAATTGAGTAAAGCACTATGGCCATAGCTGAGAAAAGAGGAGGACAAAAGCAACTGGAGGATAAGGGGTATCCTTTGCATTTATCTTGCCCAGCACTTAGACCATTGAGCTCAAGAAATAATAACAGCAATGATTGCATTATTAACTATTTCCTACTATTTTAATCTATGAATTCTAAGCTAATTCACATATTTAAAACTTTGAGTAAATAGTCATCTGATCCTTGTTTGAACATAGTATATAAATGAGCCTTGAAAACCATTAGAAAAACATGCAGTGATATTACCACTGCTAATTTCCAGTCAAAATATTATTTGGGTTATATCTTCCTTCCTGAAATGATGCTCCATCTCAATGATTTCATTTGTGCTCTTTATCTAAGGTTCATTAAAGCGCTGAGCTTTGAACAATGAAAATGAACTTTGTCCTTTTTCTCGAGCTCGGTCAGGTTCAGCTCCCTCACAGTTGAATCTCAGCCATAACTCCTGTCAAGCAGCTTGACAAACTCGTTTCTAGCTGGCGGCGCTTGTTCCTGTCTGACGAAAATGTTACAGTGCTGTCTCATTTTGTGCCTCGGCCTTCTTTTCCCGTAACACATCTCTGAGCGGGTGGTTATTCTGTCATCATTTTGGAAGCAAGCGTTAGCCTGTTTAAAGCCTCACACTGTGTCTGTCCAGCATCGGTTTTGCAGCTGGTCTTTGGTTGTCTTTAAGTATCTTGCTATAAATGTGTTAAAATGTTATATCTACCCTCATAATATTTATTTTAATTTGAAAATCTGCATTTGCATTTACACATATATGTTTTTATTTAAATGATGCACATAGCAAAATTGTTAATTAATTTGAATTGTTATGCAGTACAGTCCCTAGTAGAAACCTTTATGCCAGAAACTATTCTAACTAAAAACCTCAATTTATCGTATTTTCTTTTTAAAAAGCAGTTAAGGAAGAAAAAAAAAAGTTGTTCCACTTTGTTTTAAGGTAAAAAATATGCAATCATAGGTGTAGTGTAGATATGTATTCAGCTTTCTTGACTTACATATTCCTAAATCCAGTTTAACCCACTGCCATAAGAATCAGGTAAGCAGTTCATGGAGCATACTATAATCTCAGGATAAACAGTAAGGAAACCACAAAACGTGTCTGGGTAGACGTTGTGAATAAGGTTTAAAGCAGGCTTTGGTTTACAAAACAATATCAGAAGCTTTAAACATCTAGTGGAGGACTTTTTAATCCTTCATTAGATAATGAGAAGTGTAAGGCAGATCCTACTAAGAACACGGTTGTTAATCTGACTCTTCTGCATTGAAGAAGATTAATCAGAGAAGCAACATAGGCTCCAGTGATTTCTCTGGGGAAGCTTCTGGGGTTCACAGTTCAGGGGGAAGAATCAGCTTAAAGGACATTTTGCACCAGCTACCTTTATGCAAGAGTGAAAAGTGAAAAAAAGCAAGACAGAAAGACCCGGGAGAAGCATGCAGCCTCAGACTTAAGGTATGAATAAATGTACCCTAAAAGACTTGCAGCTTTTATTACTCAAAAGGTGGTTTCACAATGTGTTAAGTCAACATATTTTCTAAATGTTTCTATGGGTAAACATATCAATACCAAGAATTTTTCAGTCACTCTTATGCCCTAGTTAGAGTTGCCTTAAATCATAAAAATCCACCCAAAACACATGGATTCTTCCGATTGCATTATGAGAAAATGTGGAAAGGTTTAAGGACTATGAATTCTTATGCAAGGCACTGTATGTGGATGATACGTGTTAGCGGATTTACATTTCAAAAGAGCTGAGCTCATGTCAGTTGTCAAGATGTTTCCATAAAACATCTGTCAAAGCTTTCCAGCTCAGAAAAGGCATGAAAACTTAAACAATATTGATGCATTACATTGGCTCCTGGTGTGGAGAAGGAATTCTCTTAAAGTCGCTATTTTCCTGGCCCCTATCTGACTCATTCAGCATTCAGCAGGGAAGAAAAGGTTCATTTCCTGCCAAGACCTGGGGATTTTTGTATTAGAACCATAGGTGTTGAAATCCAATGCGATTAAATGGATTCCGCTGGTCGGAATTGTGGAAGGGTCCGGCCTCAAACAAAGACCCTTTTGGCAAGTCGCACAGACAGGTGTAGAGCAATTTAAAAAGCAAGTGAGAAAGAATGGAGGGCAGACAGAGGACCATGAGGAGAATGGAGGCTCAGTCTGTTAGTGTTGAAAACAGCCTCCACCTGAATGCATCACTGCACCCTAATAACGCATCAGTGAAACCCCCACACCCCCCCAAAAATGTAAATATCCTACATTCTGTTTCTTCTCATTCCTCGCTATTCACACGACCGCTGCTTAATGTTTATCTAGATTCAGCCCAACACCCTCTATTTAAAGAGGGTGTTGGGCGTTTGTAGTGTAATTATATTGCACCAAAATAAATGTTTCAGCTTTAGCTATAGCCCCGATTAAAAAGTAAGATTAGGCCAATCCGACCGTCTCATTGCTGCTCCCAAGTTTGTGGAATTAGTCACTATCAACCAGTCATCAACATAATAATCAATGAGACATAAACACATGTTTGGTTGACTGGATAGGAAGTAATAGTGTCCCATGCTCTTGTTAAAGGTACCTTAGTGTTTCTAACAATGGGAGAGCAGAGTCCTAAATTATGTCAGAAATTCGCCCCCTCTTGAAATGTTATGGACCAGCAATTACCAAGGAGCTGTGGAATATAATGGAACATGTATATATATATTTGTTTCAGCTCATTGTCTAGGCTGACACTTCTGCCAGAGTGGGAACTACTGATCATAAATTATTTCTAAAGTTTCTGGACAGTGGTAGCTTTTAAAGAGACAGACAGAAGCTGAAACATAGTGTGACTCTTCTTTGATGTCTGCTGCTGCTTTCTTTCCTTCCCTTTTTAGTGATTGTTATATATGACTATATATATCGTCACTAAATGTAGATAGTTATCATATGATTGCTGACCTATGATTGTCCTGTAATTTCTTCCATTTTCTGTTTATATTAGTAGAACGTCTATCTGATATTGAAGTCATACAGTACATCTCTGTTGAATAAACGGGTAGTGTTGCGTAGCCAGAGTTATGTTAATTTTATTCACCTATTTATGCATTCTGAATCTGCTTAGATTTGTACCCATATGCAGATCATATGTATTTATTTATTATATTTTATTCATTTGCAGCTGCTTAACACGGATCTAAGACCTCCTTCAGTCCGAAACACTATTGGTTAATGGACAAAGTTCTATCCAGTTGATTCATTAACAAAATGAGCCTTGATCAATATTGTCTGTGTTCTTGGTGAACGATGGGGTAGGGGTTAAGTGGCAACTTTACATTGACTTTTTAATTAATCAAAAAATGACAGAGAGTTGTTAGGCTTAAGATTAATACGGCCTGAAAACGATTACTGGGCTGACGGACCATAAAGCTCCCATTTGAAGGATGTGGCCAAACATGCAACAGCTAAGTAAGATAGGCAAGTCAGATCAAGAACAGAAGAAGAAAAATAACAATGATGCCTGCTTTTAATACAGTTTAGTAATGAATTAATGAGTTAGGAACCTCAGAGTCATAAGGCTGGATCGATGTCTTTAAGTTATTTCCTTATAAGCACAAAGTTGAAACATCACAGCATTATTGCTCCCACCAGGCTGAAATTAAAACTGTATTTCTCTTATTAAAAACCATTGATTAATTGAGCTAGTTCTATAATGAATATTTACTACTTCAAGAGTTAAATGGCCCTTAAAGAAAAGGTGTTATTCAAAGGAATCCCTGAGTTTTCACCTATACGTAATTCGGAATTCAGCTCTGCTTGCACTGTCTCTTTACCAGGGTCATCATACTGGAATGGAAATACTCAACAAGATGGTCAATGGAACATGGCAGTTCTAAGCTATGGGACATGCTTACCATTTATTTATTGATTGTCTTGACCGTATACTTCCTGTATTCAATTTTATGGTCATATCTGCTCTCTTGATCACTTTTTTCTCTTTTGTTTTCCAATGCAACAGTGGATCTCCCCATCACTTTTTCAATTTAGCCAAGTAAGTAAAGCAACCAAAGTCCAGGTGTATTATATTGCATTGAGGGTTTATTAGCACCTCTGCTATTTGTCAGTGCATCCAAGACATAGTATGGGTCTAGGGTCTGGTGTTTTGGGCTCCTGTTCTAAAGAGATTTTAATATGTGTTATCAAAGAGTGATGTATAAGAAATCCTCATCTTCTCATCTCTTTTGTTTCTTCAATGTCCACCTCAGAAACAGGAGGATGACATAGTGCTAACTCCAGATGGGACGCGGGAGTTTTTGACCTTTGAGATCCCGCTCAATGACTCAGGCTCAGCAGGCTTGGGAGTCAGCGTCAAGGGGAACCGGTCCAAGGAGAGCCAAGCTGATCTTGGAATCTTCGTGAAATCTATAATCAATGGAGGAGCTGCTAGTAAGGCAAGTTGAAACTTTTTTTTTTTTACTTCCAGTTACCTTCTGCCCATTGTTTTTGATAAATTGAAATTATTTGACATGCTATGTTTACTGCAACAGTAACATGTATAGAACTCCTGTTGCTGCATCTTAGGTATTGAGGGATGTTATTAAGTCATATTAAAGCCAATTTTATTTTGAAAAATTTATTGGGACAATAGATAAATAGTTGCTAAATGGTGTTAAATGTTGTCTCTCTTTAGGATGGCCGTCTTCTTGTCAATGACCAACTCATTGCTGTCAATGGAGAGTCGCTGATTGGGATGACCAACCAGGATGCCATGGAAGCACTTCGAAAGTCCATGTCGGTAGAGGGCAACAAGCGAGGAATGATTCAGCTCATTGTGGCACGACGACTGATTAAGGACAGTGAGGTATACCAGTAATTTTATAATTACTGTAAAAATTATAAGTTAGTTCATGCTTTAACTTCTAATTATTGAGGTCAAGATTATCTGAGATATTGGATGGAGTGACTAGATTTGCCTTGACAGATAACTTGACAAAATCTGTTCAATTACTGATCAGAAAGGACATCCTTCTAACTGCTACTAGGTTTAGGTATTAGCATCCCTTTTCAAACCAGCTTGCTGTATCAGTGCTGTGAGGTTATAAAATGATGAGATATATAGGCAGTTTAAAAAGGCAGTACTTTCTGACAGAGAAAAGAAGAACTGCTCTCTTTTCTCCTTTTGTTGTTTAGCAACATAATGTGTTTATTTCCAGGTTAATAATATATATAATATAATATCTGGGAATGGAATACAGGCATTGCATGCTGGTTAGTGCTTTGCTCTCTATATTAGTTTTATAGAGTGTTAATAAGGAGAAGGTTTGGTAGTTATTATGTATATAATAGGCTAAAGGAAGATTAGTACAAATACATTTCTAAATTTCTGACACGTTATTTCAAAATGCAAAATTAGAAAAAGCTGATGGAAATGCAAAAGCAGGTGACTTTTAGCTGTGCTAGGTAGCAAAGCCAATCCTACTGACCACTTTGGCTGATTGCATCCTTTTTACCTAATTCTAGTTTGTGTTTATTTGACTCTGTGACACTACATCTCCCATGAGCATCACCTTGCAGTGCATATTGGTCTGTTTGATCGATGTCACCTCAGAAAGGTGGTCCCTGTGGAGAACACAGTTATAAAGCCAAAAAAACAACAACAACCTGATGATAGAGGGTAAAAAGGGAAGACAGAAACAATGCAGTTTAGCACACTTTTACCAACTTGGAGATTTTATAACTACCGGCATATTTGGTGACTTTTCAGACTCCTTTAGCGACTTATTCCATTTTTACAAAACTAATACTATTGACAAAGGTAGTGACTTTTTTCTGTGTTGTTGGAGACCTTGGTGACATCACATGAAGGCACTGATTGTTCAGAGTTAAACTGTTTTCTCCAGTGAGGAGTGAAAACTGCATGTCCCCAAATCTCTCATATGCAGGGACTCATATGCAGCTCAGCAGTTTTCCTCTGCTTCTCTGACTGAAAATGAGTTACACGTGCACAAAGCTTCTACTAACCCCTGTTAAATTAAAAAGTAAGATATACACATAATATTGTTGTTTTAACTTCTGCGTTAAAAAAAAGTATAGATCCTCCATGCACTTAATTCACTCACAGCCTTATCCACTGTGTGCTTCTGTTGTTTTTAACTTTAGTTTGATAACATAGGATTCATTTATGTAGTTTTAGTTTAGGTAAAATATCATTGAATTCTTACTTTATAGAATCTTTGCTTGTTAATGTATTGAGAGTGTTTTTAATCTTTTTCTGTCTTGCTGATTGTGATATTTCTCTCTTGGCTGAATCAAAGTATATATATATTTATTTTAACAGTTTTTTTTTCTTTTAAAATAATCATCTGCTTCCCAGCAACACATTTAAAATGCAATTATAAACATGTTTTATTTCATTGTACACTGCATATTTTCATATATAAGGGGCTTTACACAAAGCCTTATCAGAGCTGAGCACTAATAATGACTGGTAGTGTTTTATTTTATCTAGTTTGATGAGCATGTACAAGGAGCCCTTACTTTTAACAGAATTGCTAATATAGTTTAAATAAGTTTTAGCCCACTAAGGTCAGCTTTTAGCGTATGTAACATAATTTTCTAACAACCGTTTTTTGGAAAGTGAAAATACTAAGTGGCTAGTAACTCTACAAAGCCCACTAGCCACAGTGGCTAGCAAGCAAAATGGTTAATTTCAAGCCCAACATGTTAAATAAGGATGACTTAATTGACTTATGAGCAACAGCTGGACAATGGAATGAAAATTGAAGTTTTTTATTTTATTTTATTTTTATTCATTAAACAATTCAAACAGGACATTTAACAATCAAACAAAAGTATTGTAAATTGTATTAAGAAAAAGAAGCGTATTCAGAAATCCTTTTTTCGAGTCTGATATCTGATTTACAATGTGAACGTAGCGCAGAACTGCAGGTGTGAATGCATTGAAACGCACGTGCACGCCGAGTCGCCCTGAGGCCAGTGGTTGTAGATCAGATTTGATTAGAGCTGCTGTGACTCTAATTGGAGCCCATGTCCTGTGGCTATGTGTCAGTTTGTAGTACCACGCTGTGCCCCTCCCTGCTAATTCTCATCCTCCAAGCACTGTCTTTCTCTTTTCTTACTCACATGCCACATGCCATGCAGTTGTTTTTCCCTTTGTTTCAAGGCTAATTTTTACCCCATTCTTGCGATTCTCCACTGACAGCGGCTGAATTCATTAGACACTGGCCACCATGTTGATAGTTATATTTTTTAAAATAGCACTGTTTTTTATCTGAGGAGTATATTGTTTTCTATCTGCCTTTTCTCTTTCTGCTTTCTCTCTCCTTTCTTCCACCTTCAGACAAAGAGCAGAGGACATATGTCCCTCCTGGGGAAGCTCAGTCCAAAGGTTCACTGAGTCATATCACTTGAGTCCAGTCGGTCTCCTGTTGACTTTAATCCCTTACCAGACGCCTTGTAGAGAGACTGACGGCACACATTTTGCACCTAAATCTTCAAAAAACTATTGCGCATCATTCAGTCAGGCTTAAAACAGTAATGTCTATGACCCATTCCAACAGCTGTGAGCTATAGTATGAGGTTTAAACCACTTGGGTATCCACTGGACAAACCCCCCGTTTCTTTGAGCGCCCCACATTAGGGGTCAGCATTATTATTATTTTTTTTTTTTTGCTTTTAAGACGCTGAGCCCAAAAGCTAGCATAGCATCTAAACTTTTTAGACAGTTGAGAGTAGGTGATGGCCTCAATTTAATTTGACATATTCTACCTTTTTTGTTTCTTTGAAAAACTTTATACAGGAACTAGGACTTTGTTTTTATTTTAAGGACATATTCACACCAAAAGAGTCATTTGCTCCACTCATTTGGTCTATTCCAAATGTGGACATTTTTCTTGTTGTTATGTTTTGTTCACTTTGAAATAACACTTTTGGGACTGTAAGTTACAAAAAAGCCACATGTGTGACGATCGTTGGTACCTTTGAACAGAAATGATTAGGGCAGGACAGAACACACACCTGGAAATTGAAGAAAATGATTATTTGGGTTTTGCATATTTCTGCTGTTTTTACAGCTGCAAAATAATTGATAATAATTCAAAATGGATTATTTTAAATTTGTTTTTTTTAATTTTCAGATCAGAGAAGCAAACTTCAGAAAGTTAAATCGCGACCTAATTTTACTGCTCTCTATGTGTGGCTGACTCGCTGTCTACCCTTTTTGAATAGACAGAATCAGGTTTAGTGCCAAATGTGCCATGTGGAAACCTGTAGAAAGGGCCCTTTTTGCAGCTAAGCTTTAGTAGTTTTTATGTTTTAGTAGTTTTAAGTTTTTTCATCATTTTCCACTTATTCTCAAACAGCTGTCCCGTCATTAGGGCCCCCCCTTCAGCTGTGGCGCTAGGTAATTTCCTGCCTACTGTAGGCTTTGTCCATGCGACAACAGGTTCATAGTGTTACGCAACGTCATATATAAAAAACAGAATTTCCCTATTTTGGAGCAATAAAGAGATTTTCTATTCTATATATATATAAGACAACATTTAAAATGTAATTCAGTTATTTATAGCAAGAGTACAAATTTCATAGGAAGGGAGAAAAACATCATCCCATATAATTTCTTGACTAAATTCCTTTAATTCTCCGAAAGGATATATGTTTCTCAAATAACATGTTTTAAAGATTTTTTGTTTTCTTTTTTTTTTTTAAATGGCTGTCTTTCCTCTTTTACAATTGATTCCAAAAAAGTAAAAAAAAAAACAATCCACTTGACCTTTTTTCCAAGTTTAAAGACGTTTCGCTTCCCATCTAGGAAACTTTTTCAATTCAAAATGTCAGGATTAGCGTTGAGTTTGAGGCTATATACAGTAGCCCAACATGTATATAGCCTCGAACGCAATGCTATAACTGACATTTTGAATTGAAAACATTGGATGGAGCTGGATGACTGAGAATCTTCACTAGCATATCTACAGCTAATGATTAAGTCAGATTATCTTACTCTTCTTAAAAAGTGCTTTTTACATACAGGAAATAAACCTTTAAGCCCTCACTTTCACATTTAAGTCACATTTAAATATTGGTTTACCCAGATAAAAGTTTTAGATCATCTTGATGATGCTCTGCAAGAAAGACTTGACTTGACCGCATTCCATTATTCCACGATCTTGTGCCAGTTACCACTGTCTCAGGGGACCATGCTGTGTTTGGTAACTCATCCAACTGTCTTATGAACATTTAGAATTTCTGGGGAATGTCTTCCTGAGGTCCTTCGCTGACTTAGTCATGTACATTTGAGAGTTAGCTCCAGCAACCACAGCCAACTTCCTCTACTGTTTGTACTGATGCATCGGACAGACTACTCATGTTATGTTTTCATTCTTTTTTTGGACAAAATTTGCTTCCTGGAATAATAATGAAAATACTCTGTATTACCTCTGCTGGTCCCAGCAGTGTCCATAACATAACATTCAAATTTTACAGCAGCCCTTTACTATTTTTGGCTAAAAATTCTCTCAAAACAATAACGGCATGTGTTTTTTGATCGCTTTTAGTCTTTTCTTTCAGTCAATAACTTCTTTAAATTATGATTAGTCATGACAGAACCACATGAATCAGATGCAGAAAGTCATTTTAAAATGTCTGCGCTATATTTTGGGTTTCTATCAAAGAGCTACGGTGGCCATGGACAAACTTGGCCTTTAAACCTTTGTTTTTAATAATCACCAGTCCACATAAAAACATTGCAGTAGAGAGTTAAAAATAAAAAATAAAAGTTAAATTTTGTTTTTTCACCCACAAACCTGCTGGCATTTATACAACAGGCACAGACAAAACAAAAAT